TATTATATTATTAATAAAATTTGAGTAAATAAATATATTTAATAAATTTATTTTAATGAAAGATATTTCTGTAAAATATATTTATATACTAAAAAATATATTATTATAACTAAACATAAAAATCTTTAATTTATGAAAATTTTATATAAATATTTCTAAAAAAATTTATAAGTAACTAAATATATTTTAATTATTATCAGGAATCATAATTTTTAAAATTTGTAATTTTTAGAAATCATAATTTCTATATATGAAAAAAAACCTCTCTCCCTTACATACATATTATTTTGGTCTTTAAAAAAAATTAATATTTACCATTTTTTAATTAGTTTGATCTCAAAAATTAATATTAATTTAACCCATCAATCATACACCAATATAACTTTTATTAAAATGCCAAAAGTCATTCTTACCGTTTTATTGTTTTAATGACTAAAATGAAAATTTACTTGATTAATCCTACCTTCAAATTTTTAAGTCCATAAATTTCTCAAAAAGAGAAACCTTGTTCTGTAAATTAATAAAGTTAAAAAGTTAAATCAAATATAAAATATTTTTAAATTCTATTTTTCACACATACATTTTCCAACAATATGATCCCATTGCAGGTAATATTTAATTGTCTCATTTAAAAATTTTAACAAATGGGACTCACTGTCAAAAAAAATGAATGGAATATTTAAACCATTTCTTCAAATTTAAATATTTAGTCATCAGTCATTAAGGGACATTAATTAAAAAATTCAACCATGATTAATGAAAATAAGTAAAAATTTCACCGTTGTAAAAAAAAAATAAATGCATTTTGTGTTTTTTGAAATTCAAAATGAATCGATGCAATTATGGTCCATAGATTAAAATAACGCTCACTGGCCACGTCACCATTTTTCATGTCTCCTTGCTGACGTGTCAACATTTGGTTCGATTATGAAGCTCGAGAAAACGGTCCTCCCCCTCCAATGTGGAATACCATGCAGTAGGCTATTTGACGCATTCATGCAGTCACTGAATTCCAACCGTTGAATGAAGATCTTACGGCTTATATTCCATCTCAGTATGTTGTATTCAAACAAGAGTTCCAAATCTGAATCGTACGATCTTCATCAACGGTTGATATTCACTGACTGTGCGAAAGCTTGAAATAATCGACTGCAGCAGATCTGGTTCTCCGGTTTCCCTCCCAAAACCGATTTCGATTCTCAAACCTTCCTTCTTACTCTAAAAAATCCCTCTCTTCTTCATTCTTCAAATCGCATTCCAATTTTGAAAACCCTAAAAAAATTCCCAATTCTTCGTGAAAGTGCTGAGCCTGAAGGTCTGTTTTCCTCGGCATTTTTTTTTTTACGATTCAGCTCTGTTTTGTTTCCGAGAAAATGAAGGGTAAAGAAAAAAAGACACAATTTTCGTTTGGAACAATGGGATTTTACCATTTTCAAATTTACTGAATTTTTTTTATTTGGATAATTTTTTTCTTATCATGAGAGAGATAATAAAAGTCATTCTTTTTGCAGTAACAAACGACTGTTGTCATATAAGGGAAACCATTGATTCATTATGTGTGTGTATAGATGTATCTATATACCTATGTATATATGTATGTATGAATGAACAGTGTGTTCATGATAACATGCATACATAACATTTGTGGAACGTGCGTCAAATTTCAAGTGTCTCACTTGTGCTCATTCTATCCACAAAAGAATTTTCTCTTCTATGTCGTTTTTTTTTTGTTTTTTGTTTTCCCCCAAGAGTTTTAGGCTTAGGGAATGTTAATTTTCAATGTTTGATTGTATTTAAGTGAGCATATATGTTCTACATTTTCTGAGAATCATTTTGGCTTTTTTGTTTTTTTCAGCATACTTGTTCCTATGTTCAGCAATCGTAGTAGCGGTCAGTTTGGTCAACAAGAAACATCATGTCACTTGTTGCTAAAAGAACTCCAGGTTTTCCCCTTTATCCAATATCTGAAGAATCTCTCTTTTTCATCATGTTCTCTTCCCTAACAGTTTCTTCTAGTGGACTTTGGACTAACATTGTATGTTTTCTGTTTGCTTGATCCTCGTATGTGGAATGTAAGATAATATGGGATGAACTTGGAGAGTCTGATTCTCATAGGGATGCAATGTTGCTGGAAATAGAACAGAAGTGTCTGGATTTTTATAGAAAAAAAGTGGATGAAGCCAAACTGTGTAGAGCACAGATTCAGCAGGAGGT